GGTGGAGGGTCGTTAGCCGAACAGGTAGGACAAGGACTATAATTCTCCCTTCATTATAAGTATAATGATAAATACTAAGTAACTAAACACTTATAAATTCCCAATCTTAGTTACTTAGGAAAATGTGAATAAGGTGCTAATCAATGAAATTACACTTTGCACTTTATTTAAGCTGTTAGTGGAGCGTGTGTGGTTAACCGGCACGCTAACCTGGACTTAACAAGGTAGGCAAAGGGTAACTTAATGTTTATCATAGTATCGTTGGAGCGTGTGTGGTTAACCGGCACATCGATTGAGGGGTAAATATTAAGGGTACCAAGTATATTTGCATGGTTACTTCACACCTTTTTTGTGATCCTCGGCATCCCAGTCACAAAACCTGAAGGGCACACTCGAGATTGAAACATGCCATTGAAAAGTTCAATGAATCTCAAAAGAATCTAGGAGTTCCAAAACCAATTAAAACCTAATAATACATTTCGTTTATCTTGGTGGAAAATTGGTGAATCGTCATTCACCTACCTTCAAATATTTTATAGCTTGGATTACGGCATCCCTCTTCCAAGTTATAAAATAGTTTGTTGGGTCCTAGCCTTAATATATCATATTGGGTGTTATATTAAGGGCTTAAATCAACTTTACGTGAATTTCTCCCATTGTTGATGTCTGGTTTAGACAACAATGATCTTCCCAAACCAAGCTTTCTTAATGAATATGACTTCCCGAGTTTGGATCATGGAAGTCATACTTCTCTTCCTCCACCTCCTCCAATTATTCTCCCTAACCCACAAGTTCAAGGTCACTCAAGCCCTAATGGAAAGCAAGGTCTATGTGTGATCACATCTTAGAGATGAAGTCACATATTGACAAGCCGGGAGAGTTGGGTGTCAAAGTCTTGAAAGTTGGATGTTCAATCACTTTCTAAGTCACATAGTGAGTTCCTTTGGGACTACTATGAAACAGACTATGCCATGAACCTTAATGATCATATCTACGTGCTTGGTGCTGCTGAATCAGCAATGATTTGGAACGATAGTAAAGCAAATTTTATTAGAAGATCAACTTCCCAAAAACTTTATGGACAATGACAATGGTGACACTGGAAATCCAGAAAAAGCATTCTCTTCCCAATGGAAAGGGATTGTCCATAGTCAACCCGGTTGACCAAATGGTAAAGAGAAAGGCTAAGTCTGAGATAGTCCCATTACCAAAGGGTCCATATGTTTATTTTGCCAAAGGAAGGGGCGTTGATTGCAAAGCTGCCAAATTTACCTAAGGATGTTAAAGTCAATAAGTTTGACTCTACATCAGGTAGAGCCCATTATCTAACTTTGTTAAGTTCTATTCTGAGATCCTCATTACATGATGTGACTGGGGTCACATGTTGATGTTTTAAGAATCAAAGAATAGAGAGAAATCTTAAAGGAAGTATATGTTGATTCTGATCGCGAAGGTGGATTTCGATCGCATCAGAATTTTGAGCAGTTGCTTAAGAAGTTATGATATATTGCTAAGGAATAGATAACAACAGTTTTCCATGTGGATTGTAAGGATAAGTTTTTTTTCCGCAAAGTTTAAAATAAAAGAAAATTGTTTAATTTTATTTATTTGAAGTATCCTTATAATGGCATTTGTGGAAAATTGTTGCTTATATGATTCCACTGACAGCAATATTGGAAAATGGATTTGATTCTTTCATTTGTGGTAGTGTCTAAATTTACCAAATCAGGAAGATCATTGGTTTATAATAACATTAAAAGCGAATCTGGTTTGTGAATTTTTCATATGACATAAGATTATGAAGACCACAAAAGACTAAATCTATGGTTGTTGTCTACATGGGCATCATGGGCGGATCTAAAAAAAATTGAAGAGGGGGCAAAAAAAATTATGTAGGAAAAATATTTTTGAAGAATCAAAATATATTATTTTCAAGGGGTCAAAATATATTAATTATTTTTGAAAAAGTCATATTTATTTAATTATATTTGTTCTGTTGTAGGAGTAGCTGCCCCCATGTAGGTTCGCCCTTGGCATCACCGTCACATGCATTTGCTAAAATAACATGGTGTTTATTTTTTATTTCTTATTTTTAAGATCTAATTTATTTTATTCAAGATTTTCAAAAAATATTTTCCTTTTCGTGACATTAGAAGTTGTGTATAATATGTCTTTGGTGAAATTATCAAAATATATAATGCCTTGTTTTTGCATGTTTCTGTTTCTATGTCCGCAGCCGTGGGTTTCCAGCCATCCCAATAAAAACTTCATGATTATGTGTTCCTTTTTGAGTTAAGAAATCCTCACCTCAGTAAGTGTTTCTCATCCTTCTGTTGAGTATGAATCCACAGAAATGTTGAGTGTGAATCCACAGAAATGTTGAGTGTGAATCCACAGAAAAGCTGGTCAAAAATGGCAGGAACAATGTGAAGTTGTGAAGCCACAATTGTTGAATGAAGACCCAGTTGTGTTTTTTGACTACTTCTGATTTCCATCTCTATATAAGAGATTATTCTGTATTTGTAAAACTTGTATCTAGTGTAACAAAGAAAGAGTGCAGATTAGCACCAAGAAATATAAACTCCTAGTTACCGGTGGACGTAGGTCAGAGAAGGACCGAACCACGTTAAATCCCTCGTGTTCATCCTTGTGTTCTTGTTTTTTCGTGAGCTGTGTGTGTGTTTAGAGTCGTGTGTTAAGTGTCTCGATCCTAACAAGTGGTATCAGAGCAAGGTTGTAGCTCCAGAAGGTGATTTTAAGTTTTTGGTCGAAATTTTTTTTCGTCAAAAACGATTTTGGTGTATACCGTTGGAAAGGTCTCGTTCCGAAGATTCCGAAAATATTTTTTCTGAATTTTTTTCTGAATTTGTAGCAACACTGTAGCAGATTTGAAAAATTGCAGTTTAGCCCCTGAACTTTCAGAAAATTGCAGTTTAGCCCCTGCACTTTCAGAAAATTACAGTTTAGCCCCTAATCTTTCAGAAAATGTCAGAAAGCAGTAAGCTTCAGATTGAGAAGTTTGATGGGAAAGATTTTGGTTGGTGGAAGATGCAAATTGAAGATTTGCTCGTGCAGAAAGACTTGGACGCAGTTTTAGGTGAAAAACCGGAGGCGATAACACAGGCAAACTGGGAGATTTTGGATAAGAAGGCCAAGGCATTTATTAGACTGACTTTGTCAAAGGATGTTGCCTTCAACATTTTGAAGGAGACCTCGGCAAAGGGAATCATGGAGGCATTGTCTAATATGTACGAGAAGCCGTCGGCAGCAAATAAAGTCTTCCTGATTCGGGAACTAGTCAACAAAGGATGAGGGAAGGAAGTTCAGTTACAGTACACATCAACAATTGAACTCGATTTTATCTAGACTTGGGTCAGTGGGAATAAAATTTGAGGACGAAGTTCAAGCTTTACTACTGTTATCATCATTACCTGACAGTTGGTCCGAAACAGTTACAGCAGCCGTTACTAGTTCCGCAGGATCGAAAGAGCTCACTTTTGGAGGGAATTCGGGATTTAATTCTAGGCGAAGACGTCAGACGAAGAAATTTCGGGGAATCATCAAGTGAACAATTGAATGCGGTCAGAGGTAGAAGAAATAGCAGAGGTAGTGGGAGCGGGAACAGGAGAAGGAGTCAGTCGAGGACTCGAAATGATGTGACTTGTTGGAACTGTAAAGAGGTTGGACATTTCAGGAATCAATGTCCAAAAGACAAGAAGAAGTTAACGTTGCAGTAGACCATTCAGATGATGATGTTTTGATATGTAGTGTGGAGAGCAATGTGGATTCCTGGGTTATGGATTCGGGTGCTTCATTTCACGCTACCCACAGCCGTGAAGCACTGCGGAATCTGAAAGAAGGGGATTTTGGTAAGGTAAGACTGGCGAACGATGACGTTCTTGATGTGATGAGCATAGGTGACTTAGTTTTGAAGACTCCAGTTGGTCCATGGACTTTGAAGGATGTCCGGGTAATTCCAAGTCTAAAGAAACAGTTGATTTTCTGTTGGGCAGTTGGATGAACAGGGACACGAGGTTAAGTTCAGGAATGGGCAGTGGAAGGTTGTCAAAGGAAATCTTGTGATAGCTCGTGGACATAAGAGGGGTTAATTATATATGGTCAGTTTACCGTCTGAGGGAGTAACCGTCCCAGTTCAGAAGAAAAACAAAATCCGGTTCATAGAGTCTCGTGGACAGAAGAAGGTTTGCTTTGCAGATGGCAAACCCAGAGTCACAAGTCAGATTCAGGTTGAACGTGTTTTGGAACGGTTCAGAAAACCAGTCAAGGGCATTCATAGCAGTGGGAGCAAGGGTTGTGCTTCAGCTAGAATACCCAGAACACAGTGGGTTAAGAGAACCAGTATTTCATCTGTAAAAGTCTCTCCAGATTATCTGCTTCATATGGAGAGTGTCGTTTGTTCTCAGGATGTTCCAGGATCGGGCAGTTCATTTCAGTGGGAGCCGATGGAGACAGAGAACAGGTCAGTGGCAGACTTAGCCATGACTGATGTGTTGGAGCTAACGAAAGCTTCAACTGGCCTTCAGGTTAATTGAAGAGAAGGCCAGGGTAACTAGGAAGGAGTTAAGATCAAATACAGATGCACAGTTGAAGCACAGGTGAAGATTGTTCCGTGGCTTCAAGTGGGAGATTGTTGAGTATGAATCCACAGAAATGTTGAGTGTGAATCCACAGAAATGTTGAGTGTGAATCCACAGAAAAGCTGGTCAAAAATGGCAGGAACAATGTGAAGTTGTGAAGCCACAATTGTTGAATGAAGACCCAGTTGTGTTTTTTGACTACTTATGATTTCCATCTCTATATAAGAGATTATTCTGTATTTGTAAAACTTGTATCTAGTGTAACAAAGAAAGAGTGCAGATTAGCACCAAGAAATATAAACTCCTAGTTACCGGTGGACGTAGGTCAGAGAAGGACCGAACCACGTTAAATCCCTCGTGTTCATCCTTGTGTTCTTGTTTTTTCGTGAGCTGTGTGTGTGTTTAGAGTCGTGTGTTAAGTGTCTCGATCCTAACACCTTCTCCTCCATTCCAACCTCCAGCCAATCTAGACGTGTGTAATAAGCCTCTATGTTCTGATGTGAACATGAGAGAATATATATGATCCCCATGATCTATGGTTATCTTCTTTAAGTGATGATTTCTTTCAAGTTGGAAACTCCAGCCACTTTGCAGAGTATCAGCTTTACTCTTTCCCCAAGTTCCCACCTTAATGATTTCCTCATAAGCTTTCACATAAACACCAATGCTATCAATGTAAGGGCCAGCAACGCCATGAAATCCGACAAATCTTCCTTCTTCCCATGGTACAGAAAACTGATCATGGTCTCCAACTTGACCAAAAGGGCCATGGATCTTCTTGTTCGTGTTAAAAGAAAGTGATGAAATTATTTCATCGCTGCCTCGAGTACCAATAGTCCCATCAATGCCAATTATTTCCTCGTCAACATCAAACGTGACCTGTGCTAGTCGCTATAACTTTTATGTGTGAAAGAAAGACAAAAGAATACGTTGATTGAGTTAAGATTTATTCACCTCGGAAAGTTTGTCTCCACTGGCCCAACCACCAACCTTGTTTGAAGTGTGTAAAACACCTCTCGATTCACTAGTGAACATGAGAGAGTATATCCCGTCACCATGATCTATTGTTATCTTTGACAAATGATCATCTTGCTCAAGTGTAAAAGACCAGTAATGTTGAGAATCTCCATTTTTTCTTCCCCATGTTCCAATGCGAATAAGTCTCGCTACTTTGCTATCGGCCTGGATAAAATGATAAAATTGTTCAAGGTGTAGAAAATGGAAATAGAGTTAAAATAACCGTGGGGAGTTTTCATGTAAAACTTACTTGAAGTTCCAATGCTTTCTCAAGGTTTTCGACAATCCAAGCCATTGTAGGGCGTTCACTTCTATTTCCTTTCAGGCACTGATATGCAACCATTGAGAACATCTCCAACGAATCTACCTTCACTTGTTGTTAGGATCGAGACACTTAACACACGACTCTAAACACACATACAGCTCACGAAAAACAAGAACACAAGGATTTAAGGTGGTTCGGTCTATTTCTGACCTACGTCCACACGAGGGTAACTTGGAGTTTATATTTCTTGGTGCTAATCTGCACTCTTTCTTTGTTACACTAGATACAAGTGTTACAAATACAGAATAATCTCTTATATAGAGATGGAAATCAGAAGTAGTCAAAAAAACACAACTGGGTCTTCATTCAACAATTGTGGCTTCACAACTTCACATTGTTCCTGCCATTTTTGACCAGCTTTTCTGTGGATTCACACTCAATATTTCTGTGGATTCACACTCAACATTTCTGTGGATTCATACTCAACAATCTCCCACTTGAAGCCACGGAACAATCTTCACCTGTGCTTCAACTGTACATCTGTATTTGATCTTAACTCCTTCCTAGTTACCCTGGCCTTCTCTTCAATTATCCTGAAGGCCAGTTGAAGCTATGCAAAGCTTCAACTTTTCTAAGGTGACAACCTTAGTCAACATATCAGCTGGATTTTCAGTTCCTTTGATCTTATTCAACTTCAGAGTGCCATCATTAATTCTTTCTCTGATGAAGTGATATCTCAGCTGTATGTGCTTTGTCTTCGAATGGAAGACGGAATTCTTTGCAAGATGAATTGCACTTTGATTGTCACAAAATAATGCACAATCATCTTGTTCTTTGCCAAGTTCGTTGAGAAAATTCTTCAACCATATAAGCTCTTTGCTTGCTTCAGCAACTGCCATATACTCTGCTTCTGTGGTTGAAAGGGCAACACTTTTCTGTAGTTTGGACATCCAACTTACTGCAGTGTCGCCCACTGTAAAGACATACCCTGTGGTTCTTTTGTATGAATCTTTACAACCACCAAGATCTGCATCTGCATAACCATTCAGAACTACGTCTTTTCCCTTAAAATTTAATGCCGTCTTTGAAGTCCCTTTCAAGTATCTCAACAACCATTTAACTGCTTCCCAATGTTCTCTTCCCGGATTGGACATGAATCTACTAACAACTCCCACTGCATGAGCTATATCTGGTCTCGTGCATACCATTGCATACATGAGGCTACCAACTGCGGATGCATAAGGAACTTTAGCCATTTCTTTCTTGTCTTCATCTGATCTGGGTGACTGAGCTTTAGAAAGCTTAAAGTGACTTCCCAAAGGTGTGCTTCTGATCTTGGCATCTTTAAGGCTGAATTTCTCTAATACTTTCTCAAGGTACTTTTCTTGAGATAGTGTTAAAGAACCATCTTTTGTTTCTGAATATACTCATCCCGAGTATTTGCTTTGCAGCTCCCAAGTCTTTCATTTCGAACTCTTCAGACATCTGTTTCTTCAACTTCTTGATCTCTGACATGTCTGAACCGGCAATCAACATATCATCTACATAGAGTAGTAGAATGATATAAGAACCCTTAAACTTCTTGATGTAACAACAATGATCATTGTCACATCTCTTGTAACCAACTTTTCTCATGAAGTTATCGAACTTCAAATACCATTGTCTGGGTGCTTGTTTCAGACAATACAAACTCTTCTTCAATTTACACACCAAGTTTCCTTTGCCTTTATCCTGAAAACCCTCTGGTTGTGTCATGTAAATGTCTTCATCTAGGTCACCGTGTAGAAAAGCTGTCTTGACATCTAGTTGCTCTAGATGCAAACTTTCTGCTGCTACAATACTGAGAACAAGTCTGATAGTGGTCATCTTCACTACTGGAGAGAATATTTCATTGAAATCAATTCCTTCTTTCTGTTGAAAGCCCTTGACTACTAATCTTGCTTTGTACCGTTTGGTACCATCATGTTCATCCTTGACCCTGAAAACCCATTTATTCTGAAGAGCCTTCTTCCCAACTGGAAGCTTTGTTAAGTGCCATGTGTTGTTCTTCTCAAGCGACTTCATTTCATCTTTCATTGCTAGCTCCCACTGCAATGAATCTTTCAACCCTATAGCTTCAGAGTAACACTGGGGTTCACCGTTTTCTGTCAAAAGAATGTAGTTGACAGATGGTGAGTATTTGTTTGGTGGTCTTGTGACTCTGGAAGATCTTCTTAGTTGAACTTGAGGTGTGACTGGGGACTCTGGAGTTGGAGGACTGGTTTCTTCATCTTCAGAATCATTACTGGAATTATCCCCTGAGCTCCCACTGTCAGTTGAATCATCCCCAGATTCAGGGATTTCGACTGGAGCTTCTTTCTTCTTTTCAACACCTTCAAACTCAACATACTCCTTCTGATCTTCTGGACTTTTGTTGTTTCTGTCTTTGTATAACTCGGCTTCGTTAAAGGTGACATTCTTGCTTCGGATTATCTTTCTGCTCTCACTATCCCAAAGCCTGTAACCCATTTCATCCGACCCATAACCAATGAATGTACACTTCTTGGTCTTTGAATCAAGTTTATCCCTGTCACCATCTTTTAACAAACTGTAAGCAGTACAACCAAAGACTTTCAGGTGTTTGAGACTTACTTCCTTACCTTGCCACATTTCTTCTGGTAATTTAAAATCCAAGGGAACACACGGTGAACGGTTGATCAAGTAGGCTGCAGTATTAACTGCATCAGCCCAAAATGTCTTAGGTAAACCTGAATTCAACCTCATGCTTCTAGCCCTTTCATTCAGAGTTCTATTCATTCTTTCAGCTACACCATTCTGCTGAGGGGTTCCTAGGACCGTCTTGATCATCTTTATCCCTTGCTTGGCACAATAGTCAACAAACTCCTTGCTTATGTATTCACCACCATTATCCGACTTCAGGCATTTTACCTTCAAATCAGTTTCATTTTCAACAGAAGATTTCCATATCTTAAAAGTATCAAATACATCAGATTTATTTTTAATAAAATAGACCCATACCTTGCGTGTTGAATCATCGATAAAGGTTACATAGTAGTTTTTGCCTCCTAGAGATGAAACTGGTGTTGGTCCAAATACATCCGAGTGAACAAGCTCCAACTTCTGAGCTTTCGGTGTCTTCCTCGTTTTTACAAAAGTAACCCGCTTTTGTTTCCCGAGAACACAAGATTCACAAAATTCAGTTTCGACTTTCTTCAAGTCTGGAAACTTTCCTTTCTGAGCCAACATCTTCAATCCCTTATCGCTCATGTGTCCGAGTCGTTGGTGCCATAAATTAGATGGACTCGGATTGGTGGTTACTGCATGAACACCATCACCAGGTATCTCTACCATGTATAGAGTGCCTTTCTTCTTTCCTTTGGCAATCACCAAGTTGCCTTTGATCACTTTCCATTGTCCACCCCCAAAGTGAACATTAAACCCTTCATCATCCAATTTTCCAACTGAAATCAACTTTCTCCTTAAGTTTGGGATAACCCTGACATCTTTCAATGTCCAGTTGGTTCCCATGGAGGTCTTCAAATCTACATCCCCAATACCCGTAACATCAAGCACTTGATCATCGGCCAAACGAACTTTGCCAAGATCACCTGTTTGTAGGTTCTTGACCATATCTGGGCATGAGACGGCATGGAAAGAAGCACCCAAATCCATAATCCAGGATTCCACTGAATTCTCAACACAGCATATGAGAAAATCTCCCGATTCTTCAGAGGATACATTGTTTACTTCTTTCTTTTCAGCTGGTAGTTTTGGGCATTGGCTTCTAAAGTGACCCTTTTCTTTGCAATTCCAACATTCAATATCTTTTCGGTTCTTGGACTGCCCCCTTTTTCTGGACTTTGATCTGCCTCGACTACGTCCTCTTTCGTTTCTTCTTCCTCTACTTTCTGTATGCAATAAAGAACTAGAACTAGAACTAGAAGTCTCACCATTGCTTCTCCGTCTGATATCTTCATTTACAATCAAGTCACGAATACTCTCGAAAGTGAGTTTAATAGTGTCGGATGCACTACTAACAGCTGTGACGGTGCCTGACCAACTATCGGGCAAAGATGATAAAATGAGGAGCGCTTGTACTTCATCTTCAAACTTTATTGCAACTAAGGCTAAACGAGAGATAATCGAGTTAAACTCGTTTATGTGAGCGGTAACTGACATGCCTTCCTTCATTTTGGTGTTAACCAATTGTTTGATGAGGAACACTTTGTTGGAAGCGGACGGCTTCTCGTACATGTTGGACAAAGCCTTAAATACTCCATAAGTAGTTGTTTCATTAACAATGTTATACGCAACACTCTTTGCCAATGAAAGCCTAACTACACCCAAGGCTTGTCGATCCAACAACTTCCATTCTTCATCATACATGTCATCCGGTTGTTCGCCCAACATAGGCAAATGCAAACTTTTCTGATACAACATATCTTCAATTTGCATCTTCCAAAATCCATAATCGGTTCCATCAAACTTGTCAATTTTGATTTTACCATCTTCTGCCATTTTTGCAATTTTCTGAAAGAACAGGGACCTGTCTTGCAATTTTCTGAAACTTCAGGGACAAAATCTGAGTTTTTCAAATTCTGCGACAGTGACGCTACAGTGTCGCTACAGTGTCGTCTTCTCCGGCAGGTCTCCGGCGTACAGTGTCGTCTTCTCCGGCAAGGCTCCAGCGTACAGTGTCGTCTTCTCCGGCAAGGCTCCGGCGCTACAGTGACGTCTTCTCCGGCGAACTGGTTTTCCCGGTCACTATTCCGGCGAACCTTTGACCGGCGATTTGGACGTCTTCCGGTGGTCGAAAAATTCAGAAAAAAATATTTTCGGAATCTTCGGAACGAGACCTTTCCAACGGTATACACCAAAATCGTTTTTGACGAAAACAAATTTCGACCAAAAAACTGAAAATCACCTTCTGGAGCTAAACCAACGCTCTGATACCACTTGTTAGGATCGAGACACTTAACACACGACTCTAAACACACACACAGCTCACAAAAAACAAGAACACAAGGATT